CCCCAAAACCCCAAAACCCCAAAACCCCAAAACCCCAAAACCCCGAAAGATATGAATTCAGACAATTCTTATAAAAAGATAAGTAATTTTAATTAAAGCAAAAAAGATGAATCAATAACTATTAATGGAGAAGCTTGAGGAATGCAAGCACTACGACAAAGATAACAGGTAAATACTTCAAATTTTCTATATAATCATGCTAATCACATCTTAGATATATGGCAGCAACTGATTTATGCGCAGAAATCATGAAGACTAATGTGCAGTTGGAAGAAGGAATGGAGAAGCGTATTTGTTCAGCCTTCATTTCCCATTTGGACGACAAATCTTTAGACGTTCAGGGTAACGCAGTCAAGTGCATTCAAAAAATTGCCCAGAGAATTAGAGAGAAGAACTTGGTAATGATTGTTGAGAAGATGGCTGAGAGAGTAGTTGAAGGTGAAAAAGAGACTAGAGATATATATTCATTAGCTATCAGAAGCATTATTAGTGAAATTAATGAAGACTATGCCAAACCTATGATTAACGCAGTTCACCCCAGATTGATGAAAGGTCTAGGTTCTACAGATGAAGTAAGAGAGGAGTGTTTAGATATACTGGCAGAGATCTTTAAGAGATTCGGCTCTCTGATTCTTAAAAATCAAACAAGTGTTAACAAAGATGAACTTATGAGAGTTATTCCAGAATAACTATAAAGAGAAAAGCTTTCCCTTAGAAAGAAAGCAACTAATTGTCTTGGCTCTTTCTCAATTGTTTTAACACAAAAGCAGCTATAACTATTATGTTAGTTATTGATAGATAGAATAAAGAAGTCTAAGACTAAGGCAGACTCTTTTACACTTCTTTAATGTTTTGGTCAGATGGCTAGAACAGTTGGCAGCAAAGTAGCCTAATATCTTAGTGATATTTTCCCACTTCTTTGTCATTCTGCTCAAACTTTAAGCAAGGATCAATCAATCGACATAGATAATGAAATAGCTGAAGCTTGCTTAAGTACTTTTGAGAGTTTAGTTAGAAAGTGCCCAAGAGATATTGTTCCATATATTGATAAAATCTTGGAACTAACCATCAGCCTAATGGCATATGATCCTAATTACACTTATGATGAAAATGACGATGCAAATATGAATGATGATGAAGATGATGGAGCTGGATGGGGTTCAGATTTTGAAGATGATAATGCTGGCAATGAAGATGATGATGACACCTCTTGGAAAGTAAGAAGATCAGCAATTAAGACTATTGAAGCCATTATTGCTTCTAGGCCAGAACTTCTGAGATTGTTTTACGATAGATATGCTAAAGCCATTGTTCAAAGATTCAAGGAAAGAGATGATAATGTCAAGTGCAATGTCCTTGAAGCATTCTAATAATTATTGAAGTCGACATCTGCAGCATCAGGCGCTTAACTCTCCAGTTCAGTTGAGTTGGAATTAAGACATCAACCATCACTTGAGAGAACCAAGTCAAGCACTGACGCTCTTGGCAACTTAGTCCCATTGATTATTGATGGACTAATCAAACAATTGAAATCAAAGAACTTGAAAGTTAGAATCTCTGTTATGCACACTTTAGCTCAATTAGCTTAAGCTCTGAACAGTAATCTTGAACCATATTTCGATAGAATGCTTCCAGAATTCGAAAAATCTATGAATGAAAGCTAAGGTTATGATCTTATTCTCGATACTCTAAATATTCTCAGAAGACTTTTTAGAGGTAGCGGGAGCTATCATAGCTACCAAACTAACTTTAGGAGAATTGAGGTGATCATTCAATAAGCTCTTAACCATGAATATTCAAAGGTCGTATCAGAAGGTCTTAGAGTTGCAGGCCAATTCGTTTATGTATTAAAGAGTGCTCAAGGTACAATCGACCCATCATATCAATCAGTTGTTCCAACTTTGTATAATGGAATAAGGGAAAAGTTGGTTAAGACTGATATTGATTAAGAAGTGAAGTAATGCTCAATCATCGCAATTGCTAATTTCTTGACAATCTGCCACAATTAATTAAATGCCTCATAAATCCAGGAGATCATCTCAGTCTATAATGATCGTTTACAAAATGACTTGACTAGAGATGCCACCCTCAAAGCAATCACCAAAATCGCTTAAAATCAAGGTGGATAATTAATTAATCTTTCCAATCTTGGTGGTTTAATGCCAAGATTATTCGATCTATTGCACAAAGCCTAAAGAACAATTCATTTGAATACTCTAGAAGCTTTGATTGCTATTGTGAGCAGATATGGAAATCAGTTTTCTGCTTAAGCTGGAAACATTATGAAAGAAATAGCTCCATTTATCAATGACGAAGATCTATAAGCTGCTTCTTTAGCACTTAAATTAGCAAGCATTACCCTTTAAATAGATAGCAACTCTAACGAAGTTCAAACATTAGTTGGAAGAGCATGCAATCTTGCAAAGTCCCCTCTTATTTCTGGTTCATCCTTGAATGATCTTTTGGCTTTCTTCGGATCTGCTGGTCAAAAATCAGCTGTTAAAGATGCGACAATCGGCCAGCTATTAGAATATGTTACAATTAAGACTCAATCAGCAGCAAGCGTTGTAGCTCAAATAGCAGTAAATGGAGCAAACAAAAACTCTTTCTAATAAGAATTCCTTGCTAAAATTCAAGGCCAAGGAAATGATAACCTTATTAGGGGAGCTCTCTGCCTTGGAGAGTTTGGAAAACTCGTTGATTTATCAGGAGTGCCTTAATTGATAGATAAAGTTTCAGCTTTGTTCAAGAATTCAAATGAGGATGTTAAAACTGCAGCTTCAATATGCCTTGGTAATATCTCAATCGGAAACCCAGATTTCTTCTTACAAAGAGTATTTAATCTTGTAGATTAATCTAATGCTCAAGAAAAGTACTTGTTTTTGAACACTATCAGAGAAATTATCATTCACAACAGCAAATGTCTGCAACTCTATCTTTAGAAACTCATGCCATTACTAATTGAGCACAGCAAGAGTGAAGATGAGCAAATTAGAAACGTAGTTGCTGAGTCAATTGGAAGACTGTTCATTATCTACTCAAGATATATTGGAAACGACCTTGAGCAATCTTTCAAGTCTTCCAATCCATATGAAAAGGCAACCATTGTGAAATCCTTTAAGTATGCTGCTTCTAAGGAAACAGATTCCATTGATTTGGAGAATTCTATTGAATATCTTTTGAAAGCAATTTAAGACTTCGACATCAACGTGAGAAGAAATGCACTTGAATCCTTGAATGCTATTGTTCACAATCAACCTCAAGTTGTCAGAAGTGACATTGAGAAGCTTCATAAAATGGTTGTAGTTGAGACTTAGATCAGACCAGAACTCATCACTGAAGTCGATCTTGGTCCATTCAAGCACAAAGTCGATGAAGGTATTCCAATCAGAAAAGCTGCTTATAGTTTGTTCGATACCATGGTCGAGAAGATTCCAGATAGATCTGATTGTAATCATATAACTGAAATCGCCATCAAGGGTCTCGATGACACTGCCGAGGAATGCATGATAATCTGTCTCCACCTTTTGGGTAGACTTATCAGTTGGGCTCCTGCTATAGTAGCAAGCAACATGGATCTTTTAGTAGAGTCTTTTGAGAAGCAATTCTAAAAGAATGCCAAACTAAGTGGGCAGGCCTAGGGATCAGACAAAGCCCAAAACATCATGAGAGCTTTGATGAGAGTAGTTGAGCAATTGCAAAGAACTAGTGAGGTAGAAGGAGTAAGCAAATTCAACGATTTCTTCAAGGCCTATGTCCTAGAAAACGCAGCCAATAAGGCCTTATTCGAAAAGATAGCAGCGACCGCCTCCCAAGCTATATTCGAACACTTCTGAGATTACCAACATTATTCATAGATTTACATTTATCATAGCTTTCATATTTTCTCTTTCAAGCATCACGGGGTTTTGGGGTTTTGGGGTTTTGGGGTTTTGGGG